AATCCTTGGCCAGAATGATGGAAGTGCTCTCCCTTTCCCTCTGCTGCTTTGCACCCAGGAGGGAAGAGTCAGGAAAACTACAGGAGGCAGTGCACTTCTTCCTCTCTCTCCACTCTGCTAGGAATAAGGAGACAGCAGGAAAGACAAAAAGGGTGGAAAGGCAAGAGGTGGAATGAGCAAAGCTATTTCTCCCTAATTCAGTCCTTTTTTGAAGGCACTGTGATTTTAAACCGACTGAGAGGTATTTTCTTCTGCTGCTGAGGCACTAATAGGGAGCAGTTTTGCTTGAAACTGGGCCCAGTAAGCAGGTCAGGCACCTTAAAAATTAATTTAAGCCTCACTTTCTGAAACCAAAACTCTCATGGCCTTCAAAGGATACCAATATGCATATTTACATTTACCTCATCTACAACAGCAAAACCTATTGGCCTCATCTGATCACAAATACTCTCAGTACTTTCCAATGTCAGTCTAGCAGGTACGAAACCTTTCCCACATTCCAGTGCCACCATTCTGAAGTTAACCTGCCTGCATCCCCACTGCCCTGTCTGGGTGCCCCCCATGTGCCACTTGTCGTGACTCTGCCTCTAGTGCTGGCACAGCAGAGCACAGTGACATGACTTCAAGCAAAGCATTAGCTGCAGCTCTGGCTCACCACAGCCTAGCCAGAGCCTCCCCAAAGGCCTTTTGCTCATAAGAGAACGTTTTGTATTTCATGTTTCCATGTGTTTTTCAGAGTCTTCTCTGCCTCTTTTTGTCAATGATTAAAGATAACTAGCCGTAGGTGAGTTTGCATTAAATCCAATAGCAAGCATGTTTTATTTTGAGTCTTTTACATAATAGCTTCCAAGCACCAGGACTTATAATTCATCTCCTACTGCATTCACAAATTTATCCTCTCAGAGCAGAACTACTAGGAACAGATTTTTTTATTTCAAAGATGAAAAGATCAGGCAGAAAAAACATGGATTCAACTGGGTATAGGACTGGAAATGAATTTTTTTTTCCAGGATATTTATGTTTTGTTTGGTTATTTGTTTGCTTTACATATAATCCCACAGCAGTGGGTGGTACTCACATCATCTCCATAAACAAATTATCAGGAAAGCAACCTGATGTTTAATTTCCTTAACCCATCAAACCCTTCTTTACCTCACAGAGCAGCATGCCAATCTGAAACCTTGACTCAATATTCTGAGTAAGTGGGGGGGAGGAAGGACGAACTTCTGGTTTTTCTTTCCCACTTTTGTTAAAAGGCAACCAAGCATGACTCTTCCTACCCTGACTAACCTGGGTAGGTGCCAGATGGATTTTTCCTTTCTCTAGGCAATGGCTCAGGAATTTCATCCAGCTAGAGCTGGGGCTGTGGGCTTCTTGCTGGCCTTTTCACTCCAACCTCCCCTTTCTCGGCAGTTAATCCCATCTTTCTCCCCACATCCACTATTAGCTGGACTGTACTGTTTCTTGACAATCAGCTTACAGCAGGGACTAAATTCTGCCTTTTCCTTCTGGAAACAAAGAGATGTGCCTGAAAGAAAAGCTTCCAGCCAGTCATGGAATAAGAAATTAAAATCCCGAGGCAGTGCCTATGGGAGAAGAATGGATGGCTGGCCAAGACAGCATGCTGACCTGGCTCTTTAAAAATAGATTTCTTTTATGTAGTTCCTGATATTTAGCATGGATACCTAAACTTTAGACAACGTGATTCTCAAAAATACTGTGAAGTGCAAAAGGAAAATCCGATGTGCTCATCGATTAGAGCATCTTAACCATTTTGGTTTTTGTGCCCTACACCAAATCCCAGGACACAACATATATGGATTTAGCCTGGGAAATGAGTTCCCTGTTCCAATACCATAACTGCAAAATGGCTCCCTATACTAACCAAAATATTTAATTGTCACTGCTTTTCTTAATGAGTAGAACTACTGAACAAACTTCAGGCATTTCCTCTGCCTAAATTATACCTTTCTTCCTTCTATTTCTTATCAATCTTGCTCACATTCAAAAAAGACAAAAAAAAATGAACAGAAAAGCTGAGTTGTACCTCATCAAATTATCTGCTCTTGCGGTAAGCAATGAAGAAAGCATACAATTTGTAACACTCCATGTTAGTTTTGTAATACTCTATGTTACCATGCTTTAAAATCTCTCCAAGTATTGAAGAGTTAAAGCTTGCTGCGTGTGCCTGTGACCTGGGATGTTAAGATTCAGCCAATGTAGCCTGGCTCCTGAGGGAGAGCCCTGGCATGCAGACCCAGCAGCAGCAACCCAGCCCTGGATCCTGGCTGGCAGCACTCTCCCAGCATGAGCAGTTCCCAGACTGAGGAGCCTGCCTTTGCCGGAACAAACCTCACTGGAAAATGGCAGCTAAACCCTAAAGCAAGGAAAGCATTTTTGAGCTGAAGCCTCCAATTTTACCTGACAGACTATTATTCTATTTACTCTGAACTGCCTCAGAAAAACTCCAAGGATTCCCTCATTCTCAAAAGCATAAACAAGTTTCAGTTTCTCTTTGATTTAAAAAATCTTGCCTTTTCGCTCAGCCAGCATCTGACTTGTGCTGTTAGATTCTGGTTAAGTTTTCACCACTGGGAAAATATTTTTTTAGAGGATCAGCTGTCCCCACTTCCTTTTATGTTTGTTTTGTTTTTTTTTTTTTCTCCTCTCTCAAGGAATACTGAGTAGCCTTTAAGAGAAAAAAGGTTTCTTGATGGCCAGTTCTGCTGAAATTAGCCTTTGAAATTGGAGCACATTTTAATATAGCATTGTTTCCATAAAGTAAAATGTAGAAGGAATAACACTACCTCTCTGTGAAACACACAGAACCTTCAACAAATAACACTAGCTCCCCCACCACCCACACCTAGGCTCAACATCATATTTTCACTGAAAGTTACTAAAATACATCTTTAAAGATAGCAGAGGTACACATTCATTATTTGCCTACTATTTTTTTCCACATACAAATTGAGTGCAGATACATCCCTGCCAATTTTGTTTCCAATAGCATAGGAAAAATAAAACTATAACAAATTGCTTTTATTACTTCCTTAAACAAGAATTGAAACTTGTCCAAAAAAGAACATGAAAGACTAACTTTGATGACTTGAGCTTTTGCCAGCCACAGTGGTGATACAATAAAGCAAAAACTTAAATGCGTATTAATAGAGGAATAAGCAACTGGGCATTAAAAGAATGCTTGATTTTAATAGCACAAAGTGGGTTAATTGGTTCATTGATGGTTTGCACTAAATATAAAGCAGATTTTCAATGGAAATATTACATGACTTATACCCATGTTGTCTCTATTACTAAGTTTCTCCAGCACCAAGAAGCCCTACCGACTTTGGGAGCATCCTGGTGTGCTGTGATGGTTCGTCAGGCCTGATTAGCAGCACAGTAATTAAGCATGGCCTTGAAGAAAGAGCCTCATTTATTTGGCACAGGAATTATGAGTACACCAGGGAACCACTCTTTGTGTTTGTCTAGTCCCCTCTCCTTAAGATGTAACACTGCCAACCCTGAAACCGCCAGGAACTTCGCAAAGGGTTTAAGAGCAACCAAGACCAGATCTCCCGGGTCACCTTGCTTTTGGCTGGGGAGAATTATGGTGACAAGCTGAACCTTCCAAGTGACACCTGTGGCTGTAAAAAGCACTGTCTTTACCTAACCAAGGGTTGGTTCAGCACGGGGAACACTTGTGGGGTAGGAGAGCGCGGGCCCAGTAGTGCAGGTGTGGCCGATGTGCTCTGCGCTCTGGCCAGTGTGGGGAGCAGGGACGGGCCACCAGCCCTGAGCTGCTGCTCCCTGCTGTGGGCTTCTCTGGCCAGCTGAGTGAACCTGGAGGCCAGCTTCAGCACTGGGCTATCGGCTCATCAGCTCGACTTTCACTGCCTGTTGCACCTGGGGCACCCAGAGTAGCGCTTGGCCTTGCATGCCGGGGGAGCAGGCACGGGCTCTAATGCAGATAAAACACAGCTTGCTCCTCCACTGCCACCCGCCTCTTCTCTGGTTACAAGGAGAAAAAAAGACATGTTGTTTCAAAGTAAAACCCCGTGTACTGACTCTCCATGAACACTTCCATTTAGCCAAATGCTACATTTTACTTAAGTACAGATGAGAAGAAAGGGGAATGCAAGGGAGAGATCTAGGGATGTATCTAAACCTCCCTTTTCGAAAGCCATGCATGAATCTCTTTTAAATGTATGACAATTCATCCTCTGTTTACTTTAGGCAAACAGAAAAACTCATGGTGGAGCACTAATTTTCGCAAGCTAATCAAGAACATTAGGTCCCAACAGATTCATTTAATAGAAATATAATAGGCATTCCTGCTTGCTTTTAATCTCGTCTAGCTGCAAACGCTAAAATGAACAGCGAATTAACCCTGCCTTGGAACAGAGATTCTTTCACAGCTGATATCATCTCTCTTATGGCTTGTAAACACTCCAGGCTCCCTGTAAGTGCTTTCCTGGCTTTCGCTCTTTCCCCACAGCAGAGGAGAGGAATGGAGAGGAGTGGAGAGGAAAGGAAAGGATGCTTTGGGTTGCATGCAGCTATGAAAGGAAGGAACAGGCGAGCTCTGAAGGGAGGACTGCTGGTTAGCAGAACAAAATGCAGCGCCGCCACCCGAAAACAAGGCAGAACTAAAGGGAGGATGGGAGAGTGAGTTTTGGGGTGCTTTGGGGGAAGGAAGGGGGGCTTTCCGTGCATCACCAGCCACTCCCTGCATGGCTCTCCCTGATTTACCAGTGCAAGACAAGGTAGTAAGACAAGGCCATTCACGTGCTGACATCAAATATATTATATTTTTCAAGCAATTTGCGATCTTAAACTGTTCACGGATAGCAGAACTAGCATTAGAACGCTACAACAGTAAAAAAAAAACCCTATCATATTTCATAATGTATGTCATAATGAACAAAAGCCTTTAAAAAAAACGGTTTTCACTGTGCTAAAGTAACAATCTAGACTTGTTGTAAGTATGTTATTCTTACAAGTAGTTCGCAGTTATTCTTGAAGGCAAGTCTTGGAGTTTCCTTAGCATAGTGCTGCTGGGGAAAATTTTCAGCATGTCCATCTTCATCTCTAGCCTGAAGGGAAATATAATGGCCTATTTAGGGACTTACAAATAATGGAAGGAAAAAATAGCTAAAAGCATAACAGCTCAGATCATTAAAACAGACGGGAATCCCAAAATACAACATTATTAAAAAGTTTCTTTAAATAGTCAGTACACCTTTTAGATATGAGAACTTGGGATGCTGTTTTCTTACATAGCTTAGATTGAACATGCAAATTCATTGTGGAGTTATAATTAGAACAACAAAAGACAAAACCAAAATGAAATATTTGAGCTGGAAACTGAGTAACTCAGGGTTTCAATTTACTCCATGGCATTTTTCAGGATTACATTACATATGTACTCATTTAAACTTTTTGACATGCTTAAGCGATGCCTAGATGATGTACTTGTATTTTCAATTTAACAGTAAGGCCAAAAAAAAAAAAAAATAAAAACCCTTTCATACTCATCATTTACATGTAATACTATTACAAATAAATGGATTCCCCCTCCATGTTTAAGTGAAGCTTTGAAAGGAGCAATCACTGAGTGAGAACAATGATCCTTCAGTCAAATGCGGTCAAAATATTTAATGACAAAGATGCATTAAAAGTTACTGGTTATTTGTAACTACACTGTTAATTAAGAAAGCTGAAGTTTAAATGGAGACATTACCAGAGCCCATTAGCAATCCTGCTTGCATATAGTATTTTTCCCTTCTCATCTCGAGCGTTTTCTGCTTTTTGAGTTAAAGCAAAAGGGAGAAGCAGGTGAAAGGAGGAGTGTCAGCAATACGCTCATTACACTGTTCATTTGAGTGACACTTGCACTCCGTTCCACTCCATCTCATCTGATTCCTGACTGTTCACTCTCTCCCTCTCACAGCCTCCCAAAATTCACAGCTGAGCTGTCGCACTCACATATGGCTTGCATATAATTATGCACATTCCATTTTACACTGCATTAAAATGATGAGCTCCTGGCTCCCTGCCAGCCTATTTAAATCAGCCCCTGCCCGAAGAAGAAGCCGGGGAGAGGAGGAGGGCAGAGGCAGGGTGACCGGATCGGGGGCGAGGGCTGCGGGCAGGGGCAGCAGGGCGAGGAGCAGGCAGCTCTGCCGCCCACCCCTGCTGCTGCCCGGTGTGTGCTCCCATGGCAGGGGTGCCCAGGGATGCCCAGGTGCAATCCGGGCCCACCTCGGTGCCTGTGGCAGCCAGAGCTGGCACGTCGCAGCGAGAGCCGCCTGTCACCGCGTGTCACACGCCCGGCGCTCAGGCTCTGCAGCGCTGGCATTTATGAAAGATATTTACACCTTGCGGGCTCCGCGACTTGTTTGTCTTCAAACAGGCTTCTGCCTCTCCCCGAGGAGAAGGGCTGGGGAAGGGGACACGTGGGCTAACAGCACTGGCGATTTTTAGGAAAACATGCAGGGCCTGCACCTCAACAAAAGCTCCTTGACTCCAGCAGGCTTTGACTCTGGCCTCTGCTTGTCAGCCATGGGGTCGTGAACACAGTTTGCCAACAGAAAATGCCATTTTTAACAGTGCAAAATTTGTCCAAAGGTGTATTTTGGGAAGTACCTAAAATTGATGATGATTACAGGAACAGGGAAGTAGGAAAAAAGTTAATTCTGTATGTTTCCTAACAGTTTATGGGTATTTTCTTTCAATGCCCTCAATAGTTGTGGGGTGAAAAATGTTTAAAGTTTTCCTTTAAAACCACAAGAAAGAGTGGTTTCAGATTCCTGAGCATCTGGAGTCACTTTTATATTGACAATGGTTTAAATGTATTCTTCCAATTATTAGTTTGACACTAAAAGCTCTCTTACACAATAAATTTACCTCCATGCTGCATGGAATATAAAGTTCAAATCTACCGGGTTTTTTTAAAAAAACTCCACACCTCAAAATTCTCAAAATTTTGAAAATAAATTTTGTCCTTTCCTCCTTGAAGGAATATGGGCAACTCAGTGAAGCTCTTCCAGGTCATCTAGAAGACAGCTGGGGGACGAATGCCTTGCACAAATAGAAACAGACCTGTCAGCTTGGGAAAACAGATGCCAATGGGATGCTCAGTGAGGGACAGCTAGGGAGATCCTGGTGGGGCACAGGTGTTGTGTGGGGTTCTGAACACTGCTGGTGCCCCCAGACCACTGAAATTTTCTCTTGGCACAATGCAATGCATTGTGCACATGATGGCTGGCACATTGTAACCTGCCAGTGACCCTCTGGAGCGTTGTCTTGGTGCACGCACACACCTTGTAAAATGAAATGGATATCAGGGTGTTTGGAGTGCATCTGTCAAAATACAGAGACAAACCCCACTGAACTTGACCTGCTTACCAGAATTGCCAGTTACACAAAGGTTATTCACCCCTGCTGACAGCAACATACTCCTGCTCCTACTGATCTAAACCTTAATTTTGGATGTCCCTAAAATTTCCTAGTTTCAAAACCTGTTTATCTACATACTACTGTAATTTGCTCAGACAGCAGAAAAATGCCTAATTTAGCTAGCTGGTTTCCATTGTAAAAAACACCTATTCTGAGCAGTCAGGCCTAATTCTCCAGTATCCTTCCATTAATTCATTACTACCATCTTCCAGTTGTAAATAATTTGCAGAAGGAAACACTCTTACAATGTTCATCACTATTCTAAGCACATTAAAAAGTGGTTCAGAATTTATCTCACAATGGTAATATTGTGATGCATCTGTGCCTACACTGACCCACTCTCAATCACTGCTGCACACCTTGTGACTGCCTCAGCTCCCCCAGCATCTCACTCACAGCAAGCTGGCATCTACAGCTTTGCCATCAGGCCTGGCTGCCATGGAATGCTATTGTTCAAAAGAAAACAACTGCAAAAAAACCCAAGCCAAATCTGTGATATCACTCCAATTTATTTTTTTTTTTAAAAAAAAGCTTTGATACTGCTAAAATCATTATAGGAATGCATGCATCAAAAAATGTATGTACTGACTGGTAGATGTGATTGATTGCATACATGTAATATATGGGGTAATATATGGGACAACTGCTCTCACAGCACCTTTTGTTCCAGGACAGGGCATCAGCTTGTGTTCTGAGGCCTGGAACCATGGTTGGCACTGCTAGTTTTATCACTGCAAAACTGCTGCAACTTCACTGTGGCAGTGCCTCTCCTGGGATTTACTGAATCTCCTAATACCCTCTACTGTCCAACAGCCCCTTCCCATCAGCTGCATGGGATCCAAGAGGGAAACCGGCCCATCGCCAGCCCCTGGGACACCGGGCTGGACACCTGACAAGACCAGTGGCACACACACACACACACACACACACACACATAGACAGACACCACCTTGCTACAGCCAGAGTAGAGCACACTGCCCAAGTAGCAGGGCTGGCAAAGATGATTTGTGAGGAAACTGCAGCTGACTTGGTGGAGGTGGTCGGGCTGTAAGGTCAGCCTGATGATGGCTTGTGTGGGAAATCATGGCCTTTAATTGCAGGTTAGATATCAGGAAGCCCTTCTTAATGACAGGTACAGCAAAGTACTGGAGCAGATTGCCTAAGGAGACTGTCAAAGCCCCATCACTGGATTTTTTTAAGAGCAGATTAGGCAAACATCTGCCAGGAATGACACGCGTGGAGTAGCTCCTGATCTGGGGAAGCTGTGGGGACAGATGAGAGCATCTCCTTTCCTAGGTCCCTTTTTTCTCTGCTTTCTACTGCTGAGCTTTGAAAGAAAATGGCAGGAGGCTAAGGAAAAAAAATTTAAAAAACCAAACCAGAAAACAGGATCTGAAATGATCTCTCTGAAAATAGCACAGCATTTGATGTTCAGAGATATGTGTACTCATTAATAAGTGCATGATGACAACTATCTTTGGCTACAGAAACTGTGCTATTTGTTCGTAAGCCAGCCAGCCTATATTTGTGAAAGATGCCAATAGTTTGGAAACAGACTATATATTCAGTCAAGATTCCTTTTTTTAACACAACGGAGGAAGAACAATCTACAGCAGAATTTCCTCCTCTCCAAAGAGCGTGGATATTTGTTTCGCCTTATCTCAGAGAAAAATTATCTTGATCCAGACAGAGGATTCCTTAGCTTCGGTGCAAGTCTTTTTATGCAGCTTTAGCCTTGGGAGAGGAAATCTGTGCTTACATTTTAATATTAAGGGCAGGATCTTATGACAGTATAAGTCACAAGGCAGATTGAACCAAATAATTTATTAAGATGGAACTTGTTAATGCAAAGCTTCCACTAAAATGGGACAATGCATTTGCAACAAAATCCTACTGCTTAGTCCACAAAACTCTAATGCCACTTAACCAAAACCACCTAACATTAAGAGCAACAGTCACTTGAGTAAGGCGGAGTGACAGAATATTAGTCTGCTTACTCGGGATAAAATTGCTACCTAATTTCCATAAATGTCCTTTGAAACAGATGAAACATGGGAATGTTACCCCCAGACACGTTAAAGGCAGCAGGCATTAGCTGAATGTCTCTGCTAGGACAGAGAATAAGCTGCAAGGAGCTGAATAGCGTTGCTATAGAAGTGCAGATAATTGCGTCGGGGCTCCTGTCCCGTGGCGATGAACAGAGGAAATTCACATCACCCTTAATACTATTGTCTCCAGAGGCTGGCTGCAGATGGGAACTGAAAGCTCTGTTTCCGTTTCCACCACAAAGGTTATCTCTCCTTTCACTGAAACTCGAAGGAAATCCTCGGGGAGACCCTAATCCTTGAAATTCTAGTTCCTGTGCATTTCTGTTGTCCCAGATAATCAATTATCATGCTCTTTACATTCACTGTACCAGCAATAGTAAAAATAGTACTAAACTTCCACCTGCTGGGTATATTTTTCCCAGAAATATGAACATGCTTGCTGTGGGCTCCCCCAACATCAGGGTCCTGGGTGGGGGTGCTGAGCTGGCAGTGGAGCAGGGCCAGGGAAGCTGGTCCAGAGAGGATGCTCCCTGGTTCAGCAACCACGCAGTTACAGGAATGAGCAAGCCCTCGGCTCAGAGAAAGTC